AAGTTTTTTTTTTTTTTGTATTTTAGACATTTCTGTCATCATAATACCCCTTTAAGAGGACACGGTGCATCCAAGGTAATGCCCTCCTTACCTCTTACCTGAACCCCCCCTCGCCACACACACACACATAGCAACACAAAGAAAATCCTGGAATAGCATTGAGTTCCAGGTTTTATAAAACCTGGAACTCAACGCTATTCCTGACATTTTAGTTAATAGACTATTAACTAAACTATTAAGTTAATAGTCTAACTATTAACTTTAGTTAATAGTTAGTAGAAAATCTTCCTGGATGGAAGAGAAACGTCTTCAAACTTGGAAACAAAGTCCAGAGGATTGATTTTTATTTTCTTTTTTTGGAATTATGATGTAAACTATCAAACACTTGTTTGGTAACTAGTTTCTGAACAATTTCAGATCAGAAAGGAAGCTTGCATATAGGTCTATAATTGAGCAAGTCATCGGGGTCAAGAGATGGTTTCTAAAATATCGGATTAACGGGCGGAATGCTTCATTACTGGACAGACTGATTAATTCAGGTGTGTTTGACCTCAGTAACCATGGCAACATCGGCCGTAACCCACTGAAACATTTCTTCCATTTGGTAAAATGTGTTTTTCGCAGCAGAAACGTATTTATTTATTTCGCAGTTTGAAGTTATGTTGGAATATTTCAACAGAACAGGTTTTGAGAAATTCAAGAATGTTTAAATATTTAGCATTTTTATAACAATGGAGTCTAAATCTGTTCAGAGCATTTTCTCCAAACCAGAGCAGACGCCTGGTGGGACTTTATTTTATTAACCTGTGACGCCTCGCATCGTCAGATGGTGAAGAGGAACGCCTGAGAACTTGATCTTCTCCCATCATCACTAATGAAATCATCTGCTAAAGAAAACAGAATAAGCTAATCTTCCTTTGCGGAGCTACTTTCCCCTCAGTCTTTCACAATTGTTAGTGATTTTTGAAGCAGCATGTTTAATTCTTCTAATAATCAATCAAACCCTTACTTAATAACTAAAACTTAAGCCAATTAAACTAAGACGTCTCATAGCTTCTAGTTTAAACCAATTTCTAAGAGGGGATTTGCAGCAAAGGTTTCTGTTTGGGTCTCATGGCTTTTGCATCTGTGGGCCATTTAAAGCCGGCGTTTAATCACAGAGCTGATTGTTTTCACCCAACAAAACTATCTGGAAATAGTTGTTAATCTGCTTCTCCGGTGGAGTCTGTTGTGGTTAATCTTCCCCAGTCTGACTGAGCTGCGTAATCCCAGCCCCTCCACCTTTATTGGGTGTCTGTTGGCGGCTGGATGTGTGACCCCCACCCCCCCTCTGGCGTAGCTTCTCCACTGTATGAGTCTGCCCTGGGGGCTAAACAATATGTTCCTAGTTTTAGTTATTCAGATCTTGTCTGTCTCAGACGAGTCGTGATTATTGCCTAATTTCCACTTCATCATCAGATTCTGCAGCTGCTTTCTTCTGGTTTTTTAATCGCTCCTTTCTTTACTCTCATTTTCCTCCAGTTTTCCTTTATTTTTTTAAGTTTGGTGTAAAATATTCCTGCATATGTTTGTCTGTTATTATTTAGGAGCCATCTCTTTTTCTTTCTCACTGTCTTTTCCTCTAGCTTGGAGCGAATCCCCATGAAGGGACAAAGGTTGTGTTTTCCTGGGTGTGGATAGCATCAGTCACCCACTCTGAGTGGAGCTCTGCTGTGGAAATGTAGCCGTTAGAGACGCAGTGACATGGAAGTGACTGACAGCTGGGCTGCTTGACAATGAATGGAGGATCAATGGCACTCAGCAGACCACCCTAATCTGTGGGGGGGGGGGTAAACATGCGTCAGTCTGGATCCCTGAAGATGAGGAGTTCTTAGTTAGAAACTCTTCAGCTTTTGATGAAATAAAGAGGAAACTGGTTTAATGACGTCATCAAAGCAAAAGTTGGTTGCATGAAAGTTTCTCTTCATTTCCTCCAAACCTCCTGAATGCAGCAGCTCCCATCAGCCCCCCCCCACCTTCCTCTCCTTCAGCCTGAGGAGAGCAGCGCATAGGCAGCGCTTCACCGCCCTCTGCTGGCCGGAGAGAGGAAACGCATCACTGCCCTTTTAGGGACTGAAGGCCGAAAAATCCCAGAAAGCCCAGAAAATCATCAACCAGTAAAGGAGACATTTTTAGTTATAATCTGTTACTTTAAACAGAATTTAACACTGAAATATAATTAGGTGTTTATATGTTATATGTTATACATTTAATTTTTAAATAAAAAAATATTTGAAAAATAATCTAAAGTGTTTTTTTAAGTAGAGAACAACAATCGTTCAGTTTGGTTTATAGATAATTTCCTGATTCCCATATTTTCTCAAACCCCTGAACTGATGGTTTGTTATTTTTTTTCTTTTTTCTGTCTTAATGTTGGCGGTGGGCTTTAGGCTGCACTGCAGGGCTTT